GTGGAGAGGCCGGGGGAGCGCGCTCGGATCGGGACTTGGTCGCTTTTCCGCCTCCATGGAGCTCCCCCCTTCCCTGCCTCTGCTGTGCCCGGCACCGCAGGCGGCCCCTCCTCGGTCCCTCCGTGCGCCCCTTCCCTTCCCAGCCAGCGGGGTCCAGATGTAACCGAAATCGGTATAAGCTTATGTTTAGTATAGGCCTGGCGTACGGAAACAGACTCTATAACTCGAAGGTTACACAGGAGGTGTGTTTATTGCACGCAGATGCACGGGGGATCGCTACACCAAATGCCCGAGGAGGGAAGCCCTCCCACATTTATACAGTGCAACAATACATATTCATGTGATGCCTATGCATATTCATTACCTAACCCCGCCTACTCCTGCTTCGTATGTTAATACATGCTAATTAGCTGATCAGTCCTTCACTTGGCCAGTTTCTTCTTGGTCACTGTGGGCAGTGGTCTCTGGGAGGAAGGCCGGATGTCCTCCTCACGATGGACTGTTCACCTTTTGTTGGGCATGTGGGGATTTGGCAAGTTTAGCCAATTTGTGCTAATTGTGTCCTTGTTAATCATCTGTTTTGCTTCAGCAAGGAGATTTATCAATAAATTTGTGACAGGTGTATCCTGTTTTTCTAATTTTAGTTCTTTATGGTTGCTCTCTTCGGATTAAGCTTTATCTAAAGTCAGAATGCTCTTCCATTGTTTATGAATAAGTTTTTGTTATTAATAGAAAACAAGTCTTTCCATCTGTTAGCCATTTCCTTTCCTCTCCAGCTATATGGTCCTGTAACATGCATTCTAAAATTCTTAATATGTATAACTAATCATTTTCTATTTATCACTATTCTTACCCTATACCAGGCCTGCTCATATTCTGGCTTCTTCTCCCAAGGAACTAGTGATACGACGAGAGGAAAGGGGCCTAAGTTGTGCCAGGGGAGGTTTGGATTGGATGTTAGGAAGAATTTCTTCACTGACAGTGGTGAGGCATTGCCCCAGGCTGCCCAGGGAGGTAGTGGAGTCACTATCCCTGGAGGGGTTCAAAAAACTGTGTAGAAGTGGCACATCAGGACATGATTTAGTGGTCATAGGAGTGTTGATGGTTGGACTCAGTGATCTTGGAGGTCTTTTCCAACTTTAATGGTTCTATGATTCTGTACAGATACACTTTAAGTGAAATTTGTGTGCTTACTTGCATGTGTAACAGAAAGCATTAAAGCACCTGTTGTTTGAATTGCAGGATGGACTGAATCCTGTTGAAAAAGATGCTCAGCCCTGAGTATATGTTACAAAGTGATAAAGCAACACAACCGAGTAACTAATCACTTCAAGGACCTTGTGTGTATCAAGCTATTTACTCAAATACCAGATGGGAAAGGATTTAAATTGCCTAAAGGAACATCTTTATCTCCTTCAAGGACTTGGCAGGCAACTAAGTCAACTGGTGTCCTAAGATGACTTAATACAACTTGGCAGGCAACTAAGTCAACAACTGGTGTCCTAAGATGACTTAATACCTTAAAAGGATGATGTGAGGAGAGGCATTCGCTGCCCAACGACCACCTGAGACCCTCAAAGACCTTCACACCTGCACAGTGGCCTTTGCTGACACAGCAACATGAACTGGGGGTGCCTCTGAGGATTATCAAAAGCTCAAAAATGGGTATGTATGAGACACAAATGAATACCTATGAAATGGGCAGGCTTTATACACTTTTCACTGTACAAATAGCACCTGAAAAGCTCTCTAGGGTGTGCTAGATTTGTGATCAACTAGCACCTGGCACTGAATAAAGTAGTATCTTCTCTCTAAACTTTGCTTAAGGTTTTGAGAGTGTCTCAGGTAACACAAGCATGTTGCTTTTGGAGAGATGCAATATTATAAGGTGCACACTCCTATCACTATCATGCCATAACCTCCCCCATGTGACCCAACACACTGAATTTGTCCCCAGGTAAATGACTCATGGTATGAGTCAGGGAGAAAAAATGGGGAGATTTGAGAGGTGAGTCAAAGTAACCTAACTGCTTGGCTGGGGTTTGGCCTTTTGACACGCTAGGAACATGACTCTTGCCAAGGACACAGCAGCCCAAAGGTGACTTAAGTCAGCAATGTTTTCCCAACACTTGCAGGGCTTAATTCAGCCAGATCAGGTCATGCCCTGATGTGATTAGCTCTATGTGGACATAAAGACTTGTCCCATCATGAGGTTAACCTACACCATAACTATTAAACCCCAAATACATTCAGCTCTTTTGGCCCCATGTTCTAAAGCTCTGAAGAGCTGATTTTTTTTCACCTCTTCCTGGTGACAGCGTTGACTATCTTGAAAGTTAAGTCTCAGCATTCACCAAACATCTGGAGGTGGGAATAAGGTTTGAGAAGTGCTGACTATCTTGAGACTTGGAGAGTTCTCAAGGATGGCAATTCTTGGAAACCTGGCTTTGGAAAACCATTTTAATAGCTCTCATGTTAATGGCATGCTATTTCACAGGGGTTTTTTGTTTCCATTTAAAAGATCCCATGCAATCCTCCCTGACCTCCACACACAGATTCTGGGGAGATCCTTTTCCTCTAGCTGTGCAGGATTTGCTGGCCTGTTGAACCTCTCTCCTCGTTCTGGCTCTGCTTTGGGAAAACCAAAACTAAGCACCATATCAACAGCATGACCATTTAACCATTTCTTTAAACAGACATGAACAACCCTACTGATGAATGAGAAAAAACTTTACACCTTTTGGACTAGAAGCAAGAAACTACAAAGCTAAACTCTGCCAAGCTGCTGTCACACCCCAGGTGTAGGTAAGTGCTGCTGCCTCCCAAGTATTCACTCCTTTCCTTGGTTTCTATTAAGGGGTATCCTTTTGCTCAGACATCTGCTAACCAAGCTGCTCTTACACAACATCAATTTTTTCTTATTCTATTCAAATACTTGGCTGCTCATATGTCATGAGGATGAGGTTAATTTGTAGTATGTGAGCTGTATATAGAGGGATGATATGCCTACATATAAGCATTCAGTGATGTTAAGCATTTCACAAATATGAAGTCCTTTTTGGAAAATACTTTAATTCAAGGACTCCATGAGTAAATCTCGTTCCAAAGGGTTAAGGAAAAGTTGGTTTGTACTTGGACATAGGCAGCAAAAAAACCACATCCTGAAATTCAGCTGAACGGAGCTAAAAAATTGGGCTAGGAGATTTTGGGAGAAGCAATAAAACATGTTTTGAAACACTCAAGGTGCCCCAAGAAGTCTGTATATACAGAAGAACTAGAAACAGAGGAAAATTCAGAAGTCTGTTTTCCCCTGGGGCTTGAATTATCTGCTATGAACAGTCTGTTAACAGCTACACCCAATTTCAGAATTGGTGCTGCTTGCCTGGAACACTCCCAAGACCATTTTCACATGTATTTAGTTACTTGGGTGAGTATGTTCTTTGGAGATGTGCTGAAGTTTTGCTTCTCAGAAGCACCACACATTGTACTATAGAGGCAACCTATGGCCAAGTTCTTTATTTAAGGGAAAAAAGCTTACTTGTTGCTGAATTCTTCATTAACAGTTTCTAACATGATTGTACAAGACCATCACCAAGATTTCTGAGTGTTGTGCTATGCTTAAGATATTATCTATGTATAAACCACTTAAAGCCATGTGCAACTTGTACAAAAAAACAGCCTTAAGAAGGCTTAAAATTTGGGCTCTTCCTCACCAAATGTAGAGCACTTATGTTCCTCAAAAAGGGTGAGAGACCTTACTTAGACTGCCTAATTCAGGTTCAGTTCATGAAGCACAATTTTCACCCTTGGAACAATTATTTCTCTCACCTAAAAATGAAACTAACTACTCAGTACTGGAGATAAATATTATAATGTACTTATAGTCAGCTTTGCCTCTTTTGTACTCACATTAGCCTATGTAGCTTATAACACACACACATAAGAACAACAATTGTTTATTAAAATAGTTTTGAGGTCATATAACTCACTCTTAACTATAAATATTAGTTATCTTACAGATAAAACATCAGGTATGTTTGTGTAGGGGTGGTATTCTCCTCCCATTTCTGAACTTATCTTTTTTTACTCATTGACATGATCTTGAAAATATTCATCCACTAGGGCAGATTTATCTTCTTCACATTCCTGCCAAAAAAGAGAAAGAAGGTAAAACCTGACTTTCCCCTTGTGGCTGTTGTGGTTTCTACAATAAAATGTGACAGAAAATGTACAACAGGAACAACCTCGAATGTGGTTTCATAAAACCATCCAGCAAAACTTTTGGAAATGCAATTTGTTTCTAGAGCTATCAAAACTGTATAGGTCAAAATCTAGACCTGGGTACTCTGCTTACTTGAAGAGTTCAAAACAATCCAAAAAATGGGATTAAAGCACTGGACTTGTTCCTTAGGATTTATGAGCTGAATAATAGAACTAGACCAGGCTTAGAACAGATTTTAATACAGCAGCATTCCATCATGTATTTTACATGACAGAATCTATTCCTCATCTGTATCTCATATTCCACACATGGGTTCAACACAGGAACTATCAGGGGAGTTTGTACAGTCATGTAGGAAGAAATCTTAGTGATCATAACACTCCTTTCTGACCTTTGAAGTTTAAAATTCTGTTATTTTTGGAAACTAAACCATTACTTTTAAACACAACTGTTTCAACAGTCTGTCCAAGCAAGATGGTATTGAAGAATTTCAGTTTCATAATTGTAAATGAAGATGATACAATCACTGTCACTAAAAGACAACAAGACTTACTTGAAACCATACTAAGACAATAATTTACTAGCATGGCAAAGAATGCACTTATATTACAGCTAGTGTTATGGATCCTTTCTAAGTTTTCATCTTCCCATCAGAAGTACCTTACCTTTGGTTCTTTGAATTCAAGATCTTCTCCATACTGGATGGTGAAGTCTATGTGCTGCAGAACTATGTTTATACTTTCCTCATCAGAACGATCAAAAGGCAGAAATCTGACCATACCATAGTCATCAATCTAGAGAAAGGACTCAGAGGGTTTTAGTAAGAAAATGCAGTAAGCTGGTTCTCAGTCACAGCACTCTAAGCCACTTCCTTATCCACACTTACAGCTTCCCTGCCTGGACTCCTAACACCATTTAAAGCCACGCTGCAAACCATGGCAGTTCCCCACTCAGAACAACTGGCTATCAGGCCCAAGTTCTACACAGCAGAAAAACACAATTTTCCCAAATTACTTCACAGGAAATGGATCAGCTATGCTCCAAAAGTTAGCATCAAGAATGTGCTACTAACCTGGAAAACAAAAATATCAAAAGCTGAGTTCATACACTAAAGAAGTAAAATGCTGAAGTGCTTGAGGATTTTTTTAGATCCCAGCTTTGTTAATGTCTGGTAGGTAAATACAAATTTTGAGGGAAGAGTTGCTGTACTCCACAGAGTATCTGCAACAGCAACAGAGTCAGCAAGCATACAATATGGTTTACAAATACAGAACTGAAATTGAGGGTGTCAGTTAAAAAGCAATATACCTACCAATCCACATATGGATTTAGTCAGTTTTTTAAACATTTTGCTTTTCAATATATTTGTAGAATCTTCAATCATAGAATACATATCTGGATCCAAGTACCTGGCAGAAACAAAGTCATTGTTAAGAGCAAATGAGTCACTGTGCTTTTATACAGCTACCAAAACCATCTGTCATTCTGAACTAATGAACTAATGTCTTATTGGGAAAACTTAAAATACTTACAAAAACTATTATTAAATATTTGAATATCTCAGATTATAATTGCTAGAAGAAAGAACTGAAGGGGTTTTGCTCATACATTTATACATGAAAGGAAGCTTTGAGGAAGACCACAGAGGAAAAACTTCCAGTTAGGTGTTACTTTTACATTTGTGCCAAAATTACACAAGTCATTTGGACAAAAAATCCAGATAGCAGTACAAAGACAGAGCTAGCCTGTGACTAGGACTAAGCTGTACCCATTTTACCCAGACATTGAAATGCTATGTTCAATATAAAAGAGATGCATCTTCTCCCATTCCAAAAGAGTATGTTTTAAACGTGGGAAGTTAGACTGAATTTTGAGTGAATTTTATCCCAACGTATTGTACTACAGAGTAAGTACTTTTTGGAACTTACTTTTCTATTTCCTTCTTGGCTTTCTTGCTCAGCAAATCCATTTTGGTCATGACGTTAATCTGTGGAATCTCTAGAGATATCATTGCACTGAGTGCTGCCAGAATTCCAGAGATAAACTTAAGGAATATGAAAAATGATGTGGTTAAGTACAGAAAAACACAGGAACATTCAGGACACACTTCCACAGACCACATCTAGCAAATATATAAAACATGGACGTGATGCCGAGTGGGGAATCCTTATCCCTGGTGGAAAAGGGAGGTGCTGAGCTTCCCATCTGCCCTCATACTTCCTTCCTCTGCCACTGAAAAGGCCACTGCAAAACCCAAAGCCCATCTCAGGATTCTTGCTGTTGGATGGGGAGTGGCCTGCTCTCTCTCCAGAGCCAAGAAAGCTCTCCTAGAACCACAGAAGAATTTAGGTTGGAAGGGACTTTTCCAGACTGTTTGTCCCATATCAGCTTCCAAGTCAGGTCAGGTTGCTCAAAGGGTTTTGCCCAGTCAAGTCCTGAGTAACTCCATGAACGTACACTACAGAACCTCTCTGTGGCCCTGTCCCAGCCTGACCTCTCTCCCACTGCAGGATTTTTTCCTTTACATTCCAACTGGAATTTTGTTTGCTGCAGCTGGTGTCTGAAGCACGTGCTGGCACCAACTGCATCTCCCCAAACTCAGCATTCAGTCCTCTGGGATTTTTACAATCAATTTCAAATGGATACCTTAAAAGACTCCACCATAAACTGAGAATCCACAAGAAAAACTCCACAGACACGGAACTCCCACTGCTGCAGCTGCTCCACCAGCTGTTTCATCACTGGCAGATGTGTATAGAGCTCGATCTGACCTAGGGCACACTCAAACATCAGTATGCAGAAATGTGAACAGGAGCAGTTACCAGTTATCTAAATATGGGCATTGCATTTTGTGTGAGTAAAAGCTGATAAAGAAAGCATCTATCTTTTCAGAAAACTCTAAGTGTATTTGGATGAATTTATACTGGTGAAGTGGAAAAGAAATACAACTTTTTTTTTCCTCCCTTGGCCTGCAATTGCAAGTTGCCACAGTGTTCCCACACCCTGTGATGCTATTAGGAGTCACTGTGGCCCCCCAGGCTATCCTGGGACCCAGTTCACTTCTTAAACACCTGAATGGGACTCTAACAACTGTTAATCATGCACGACGACGGCTGAATGATTACAAGCAACAAAATAAACCCTGCAAAATTTATACGGCATACGAAGAACGATACCAAAACACTGACGTTGGTTTACCTGGGCAATCAAACAATATGTAGTCATCCTCCACGTGCCCCAGGCTCTCCTCTAGCCAGTTCAGGTTATTGGCGAAGTACTCCATGCAGAACACCAAGCCGCC